AGAAGAAGGGCAAGATATAGTATTTACTATATCGCTATAACTTTTCTCTATCCTATCATTTTATTAGGAATTTCAATGCGAGCGTGTCACAATAGCCGATTTTCTGGTCAATGTTAATATCTAATACTTCGCGAGGATTACGCCGTTAATCAATTCAGCGCTAGCGCTTCTTCGAATTTTGTTTGCGAATAATATTTCCGAATGCCCTTTCCGGGCACAAAAAGCCTTTGGTTTTTCCAAAACTGACTGTGCTTATTGTTAGCTCTATGAGAGGCATTACTAGTTTCCTTCCGAGATGCCAACTTTTTCATCGTTCCAAAAATCATATTCAAACTCTCTCATACATCGTAAACAACCTAAACACTTCAGAAATAAGAATCGATTTTACGCTCACAAAATCGATCCACTACTCGAAATTCACGGGCTAACTGGTTGACCTGGGGAGCTCTACGACAACCTGAACTGAATCCTTTTCAACGCGTCGATTTTCTGTTTTTCTCTGCACTCTCTCGCCTGTTCTGAATTCTATGGTCATTGTGACCTCACGCATTCCAGCCTTTCATGCATAGTAATTACTAGTTCACCCAGCCTGGAGTTCTCTCCCTCTAAAAAAATCCTATCCCCTAGCTCGTCACATGTTTTTTTTGCATATTTCTATTCTTTGGCGGCCTAATCTTTATCTGCCTGTGTTACAGGATTTCGCAGCAGGACCATGCACAGAAGTTCCAATTGTCACGTGACTGAAGGAAACAGTCGGAGAAAGTCATGGAAGAAGTGGCCGCTCGATAGCCTAAAACTGCCCTTTCAAGAAGGCGAATGTGATGCGGGGAATGTACTATGACTCATCGTAACGGCGCTATTGACACCTTCGTTACGGAAACGAGAAGTGACAGCTACGAGCACGATTTTGATCGTTTTAGAAACCACAAAATCATTATAATCGATATAGACTGTTCTTGTAAGATCTCCCCAACAAAGCATAAGCGGCAAGTCTGCTCAGGGGTGCATTTGAAGGAGTTCTTGTTAGTATTGTCTTAATTAAGGAAACTTCCTGGGGATCGTATTTAGCCTCAAGGGAAGGGAGATTGTAGTGGAAAAGAATTTCTGAAGAGCAGGTACTCTGCCTGCTCTTTGTGCAAACTGGGATTGCCATGATGTGAAACCGCTTGTTGCACAAAGAAATTAGTTCACTCAACCGGAATTCCTTTCCTCTTAAGCTCGAGCGAAATCTCGCTGCGATCCCATTTTTGCACAGGAAGCCCTTTAGATTCTGCTCCTTTTGGGCAGATCACGCCAAACTTCGTCATCTATGAAACGAGAATCAGAGAACATCGTTGGGGATTCCCCAACAGGGGAGTCGTATTTGGTCTGAGAAATTTTTTTGATTGTTGATTTTCTTGCTTCGAGGACGCTTTTGACCTTTCGTGGTTTTCCCTGTCTCATATGTACCATATGTCCCCCCCCCCCGCTAGACGGCTCCATGAGGAGGGAACTAAGAGGGGGGGGGGGGCGGAAGGGTTGTACGGACTCCAACCAGTGATGCGCCCTGCCTTGAATTCTATCGGACTGCAGCACCTTCCAAATGGATTTGAACATTTCCGAACGCCGGGAATCCACTGTGTACTTCTACATTCTGGAACCTCACATTTAGTGCTTCCACAGCTCATGTACCCACTTCTTTGGCAATCTAGTTTGTTGGTGTTTGCGCGAAACCGGTTCATCGGCAACAGTACAAAGTACTAGTTTGTTAAATTCAGCACTTTAGATCATTTCTCAATTGCTTCACCTCGATTTCTCTGAGACACGTCATGTACCCAACTTCAGCTTTCTATCGTAGGGATATTTGAAGGCGTATCTGACCCGGGTTAGTGAGTGTGCGAGTGTCGGAACCGTAATAATAAACCATCTGAAAAAACGCAACGCACGTGATTGGCTTGAGTGGGTTGGCGCAAAAAGGATATGTCTCAAAGTGAGTGACTGCTGGTACCACTAGAGAGACGGGCGCTAACCTTGTAGTCGGAGGGGTTACAGAGAGAGACTAGGCGGCAGCTCGGCTCACTACACTGCGCTCTTCTGAGGCAGCGTTCACACTTCGCGACAGCAGCGGTCGTAAAATCTTCCTGCCACACTGATGCCGCGTTCTCCTTATTCTGGCACGGAGAGGCCGGGGCATCCGAGACGGCTGGGTAGACTGGGTGCTCGTGGCGATATTTCAGTCACTGACCAGCAACGTCATCTGTTCTGTGTAGACAGGCACATGATGACAACTGCCCCAAAGTCAACAGATATCTTCCGCAAGACGCTCACCGCGCGACGGTCCATCATGTACCGCCGCCACACCCCCGCATCTCGGCGATTTTGTGTGGTATAGTACCCGTTAAATAATTGTGGGCCGTTTAAGACTTAGGCCCCTACTTCTGACAGTTTCATAGGACTACTAGCCCCCTATTTGACAGTTGATTCAAGGGCCCGTAGAAAACCTGGCAAAGTTTTCGGAAAGTTAGTAGAAAGCGTGAAGAATTTGGTGAAATGGTTGGTTAGATTATGAGATGGAGAAAATCTTGGAAGGAGGGGTTCGATTCCGCCGTTTCACCCATTCCGCTTCTGTGGCCTTTCCCTGAGCTTCACCTTCTACGGATGTTCCTTTCCTGCCTA